TATATATAAACTAAACGAACTTTATGGTTTGTACGGCAGTGAAGCATCAGTGGCAACACTGATGTTGCTGTCTTTGATGATGATGAGTTTAGAAGCGATTTCGGCGAACGCGGGATAGCAAATCATGCACCCCTTCGAAATGAAAGAAAACCGATTACTGAGCCACGCCATCAGTGAGTAGTGGTCATAAGAATGGTTTTGATCCGTCGCTGGCAGGCTAACGGAAAGCATCGTGCAATCGAACGATCTGCACGGAAACATTCGGCACACAACTGAAGTAGTCGCTCACAGCTGGCCGTTCGTACCGAGTTCCATCTAAATTGACCACCATATTGAATTTCAGAGGCTTTAAGTATGTCCGATTACATTCAATCGATTCATCAACTATAAGCCGTGGGTTTTTACCCCCTGGCAAAAACAATGATATCTGGGCTTTTAGCCCCCAGAACAGAGACAGAGAACAGAACGGGAGACACAAGTCGTCTTTCACGATTCACAGATTGATACACAAGATCGAGGCTTTCGCGCAAACTTCCCGGGTCGGATTTGTTCTTGTCGGCCAGCGGCACTCACAGAGTCTCTCGTACCAGTTTGGTCAATGGATAAAGGTTTTACGAACACAGTCTCCTGGTCATCCAGGTTGGGGGTTGGAACATGTGGCGACTTGTTCCGTAGAAATGGTAATGCATTTGCGTTTCCGGCCAAAAACCGCTGCCTTGCGGTTAGACTTCTGAGACAAAGTCTTTGGTTGAGGACCCTAATCGTCCCCTGTCTAGGTGTGGGCGCCCCGACAGTATCCCAGCCCACGTACAACCATGAACTGCACATACACAAATAAACTCATGCCACATCGGCCGTCGCGTGGTGCCATCAGCCGGGTCGCCTTACTTGCTGCATACAGCAGGGCGGGTAAGCGAAAACAGGCTACCGCTGACGCCTCCCTTCTTTCTCCTTCACATACTTTTTCTTTCCCCTCTCCCCACCCCATTAATGACTCTCTCCTTGTAGGACCAGCACTTGGGACTGATGACTCCGTTCGTCATGCATCGGTTTTGCGTGCAGCATCTGCTCGTCACATGGTGCCGACATCTTCAGGAATCTCCAGATCAGTTCTCAAGCCTCGACACCCACTCTAT